GCTTTCAAAGTCGAACTTAATCTCCTTTGAAATGTTATAGAGGTATGGATAGGAAACTTAACTTTGAAATCCAAAAATCCATATATTTGTACAAATGTTTTTATATATCTGCAAATCTTTATTTATACATATTTATCTATCTCTCTATATAGAGAGACATAGATATAGATATATAGAAAAATCAATCACAATTCACCCATAAAAATTTATACAGTGGTTATATATAGTCATTGGTGATGTTTATATTTTTATTTGTGTTTTTTAAATGTATATTCAAAATATTAAACATGTTCAACTTTTGTAATGAAAAAGTATTATTTAAATAGTAACATATACAAAGAGAAAAGCCTAGGAGGATATTTTTGAACAAGTTAATTGTGGCTATCTCCAGGTGATGTTTCATACAATTTTTATTTTGTAAATCTCTAGTAATATATACTGGAATTGCTTCTAATCAGGTGCCTGAAATCTTGTTTATTTTAGTTGTGGTTTAAGGAACTCTTTTCTCCTAGACAATGAGTATGAGACCTCATTTTCCACGACTGCCAATTTTGAACCAGTAGATCTATACAATAAGATATGAGAGTCTGATTAAAAATTATTAATTTTCACCAATCTACATGTCTTATGTTATTGCCAATTTACATGGCTTCCCTGTTTGGTAAATGTGCACAGTTTTGTTTGGAAAGAAAAAAAAGAGATTGTATCCGTTTTAAGAATGGTTATTTTCAAAATACCAAATATTTGGATTTAATCATTATAATACTTTCATTTAGGTTTATATGTTCGTAGATAAATTCTAAACCACTTCTTTCAAAGTACAATGAAATCTTGTATGTAATTTAAAAGTCATCCCTTCTAAAAGTAGAGAATGCCCTGGATGCCTGCTTAAGATCCCTTCCCACCAACTTGCCTTCTTGTCTGAGTGTATGGTGAAAGGGGGTTCAGAATTGAGTCTAGTATTCCCTCACTTGCTTTTGGTCTCACATGTCAGCTGCTGTTTTGCTCAACTCTGTATTTTCCCCTGCCTATCCCCAGACAACAGCAAAGCTGCTGGCCGGTTGGTCTCAAGTGGAGAGAAGGTGAAAATGAATCTACAAGACCCTGCCAAGATTAGAAGTAAGATAAAGTTTGTGCCACTCCCACTTTGCCCTACAGGTCAAAACAAATTATGCCAAGGTTTGGGGGAACATAGATCCTCATTAGTTTTTTACTAGTCAAGCTTACCAGTCAATTTGAGAGCTGTGGAATCTAGAAAGTAAACCTGTTTGGAGCCCGAGTTATAGATTGTTTGCATTTATACCATAGTTCTTATCTGCCTGGGGCCTAAAATTTTTTTCCTCTGAGTTTTATCTGCTTTTCCTGGAAATTCCTTTACCTTACATGATTGGTTTATTAAAATGACTGGACTTGGTAAATTGCAAGCCGAAGGCAAGTTCATTCTCTCGCTGCCCTTTCAAACCTACCCTCTAGATCAGTTTTCCTATCTTAGACAGATCCTGTAGCTTTCCTGTTTACTTGGCACATGAGTAAGAATCTCTTTTCCAGTAGCTGAGAGTCCTTTCTGCCCTAGTATTAAAACTTCAATATTTTCTCCAATTCAAAGCACCTCTCCTCCTTCAGCCTGGGCAAGCCTTGGTCTGAGACAAGGGGAGGTGGCAAGGTTAGGTTCTTCTCTCAATATCTCTTGGCTCTACACCCACTCAAGAGCTGCTGGTTTGGGTCCATCCAGGATTGGGGAGGTGGAAGAGAGAGGAGAGATCAGAGTGTGGAAGTATCTTACCTAATGGGCACAGCTGTGAGGTAACATTGGAAATGGAGGGTGCACGATCACTAGCTCTTTCCTCCATGAGATGCTTTCATCAACTCCACGGTGAGGGAAGAAGAGTGGTCAGGCACCACAACTTGACATATTGGGAAAGAAACATAGTCTTTCTTCTACTGCCTGGATGTGAGTGAAGAGCTAGGACCAGCATAACCTGTTCCACTAATACGTGTGTGGTCACATAGGTGGTTTGGTGCATTGCCTTAGGACGTGGGGTGCTTGGAATTAGGGTGACCAACTCAACCTGGTTTGCTGAGAACTTTCCCAGTTTTGCCACTGAAACTCCCATGTCCTGGGTACCTTTCAGTTCTGGGCAGACTGGGACAGTTTGTCACCTTCCTTGGCACTTAGTAAATTGTTCCCAACTGTTGGGACTTCTACTAAAATTTTGAGAAAACAGGAAAGAATTTAAAATTCTGTCACACTTACTTCTAGAGGTTAGTTAATACCATCATAACAATTTTTTAAAAATAACCTTAAATTATATTCTGACTGCTATAGTATTTAATAGGGTTTATAATGGGGTTTCAGTGTTATTAAATGAGTATACAAACAGGGGACACACAAATAGTTAAATCCTGCATTGCTTAGCCAATCTATTTTGAGAGTAAAATGCAATAGTGCTATATTATGAATTAGCTGATTTTAAGCTCCAAATCTCCTTTATACCCAAAGCTCCATAGGCTGGAGTAGACTTGAATGTATTTCCTTTTTCTCCCTAAAAATATTAGACCTAACAAGTTTGATGAAATGTAAATCCAACATACCCACTAGTCTCAGGAAAGGTGTAACCAGAGACAGACAGAGAGAGAGCAAGAAGGAACTCTGTGTTTGCTGGGCTGTCCAAGGTTGCAATTAGAGCTTTAGCACCCAGCCTTACTGGAATATAAGAGAGGCAAGAATAAGGTGTCTGGAGCTCTTCTCATTGGGCTGTGAGCACGGACCTTTGGAAGAGGAGGGAGGAATGAGAGGGAGTGCCAGAGATATCCTAGCCTTCCAGAGTCCCTTTCCACTTTGGCATCTTGGGTGAGGAGAGCCCCTCGGAGAGCCATACCCAGATGGATGACCTTCTATTGCCTGGTGACTCCACCTTCCAGAGGGAGCAAAAGGATTAATCTACCTCTTCGAGAAGCATATTTCCACCTTGTTAGTAGTTCTCCTTAGCCCATGGCTATTGATATCCAGTCTTCTACTTACTTACACAAGTTTATCAATTTCTGTAGACTTCCTCTTTGAGCTTTTATTATCTGGGTTAAATAATAACAGAGTGACAACTTGTAAGGCGATAGCTTGTTTGATTTTGTGATAAGGTCTAATTATCAATATTTGTTCCATGGGGCCATTTTGATCTTAAGAGATAAAAACCCTCTCAGTCACTGTTTAGTCTCAAGACCAGAATGTGGGATTATTTTACCAAGCAATAGGTCCATTTTGGGTTTGATTGAAGGAAATATCCTTTTAATTTTGCTATTCTAATATGCTCATAATCTGCTTAGAGTTTACAGCACTTAGAACTGAGTAGTCTGGAAAATATTTCTTCATGAGGTCTACATACCCCACCTAGCACTACCAAATGGTAGTCATTGGATGGTGGGCGTTGAGCACAGAAAGAAGGAAATGAATTTGTCTTCCTGCCTTAGAAAATAAAACACCTTTGAATGATAGCAAACCTTGACATGCATATCTATAGCCAATTAACTTACAAGTGGAAGAACATTCTTTGCTGCAACATCTACCAACTCAGTCCTTAATTATTATTTGAAACTAAGGTTTTGGAGGACTCAATTTTACCTTTCTCTTGGTTAGCCTTCTTCTGGTTAGTTTCTTAGATTCTAATATCTTTGTCCAAACCCAGGTGGACAAAGCCTGTGGTCACATTTACTATAACTTTCAGCACAAACATACAAATATCTTCATTCAAGGTGATGTGTATAACATGTGTGTCACCTGTGAAGCCCACCATAGGGTTTCCTTTAACTCACAGGACTTCTATTTATTCCTGTCTCTCCACAAAAAGAAATCTGAAATGCTTTCACTTAATTTTGTAGTTTTTGTCTCAATTTTCTCTGAATATTTTAGTTTCTGTAATGTAAGAAATCATCATCTTGATCTCATATATTTGTTGGAAAGACTAAATAAATTAGTAGATGTACAATTGACATCCATTGGGCACTTAACACATGGCTGCTTGAGATATAGGTGAAATGCTGATTTCAACTGTTTGTTTTACTAATGTGGGGTTATGAAAAATAAAATAGAAGGTGAGCCTAAGATTAGCCATCTAATTCTTGGTATCTTAAAGACTAGGGATTATATATTTTTCTTTATACGTTAGGCTTTGGGGAAGTTACATTTAAATGGAAATTTTCGAAAGCACTTATATATGCAATGCAACTGCATGTCTGTGACTGTGATTATATTTTTCTATTTTCTCAGGGAAAATGAGAGGCAAATATGCAGTCCACTTAACTGGTAGTCACAGAGCCCCACAGACAAGAATCCGGCCAAGAGGTAAAGAAGAGAAGGGGAACAGATTTTCGATAACTAAACAGTTCATTTCCTGTGCTTTACTTTGTGATTTTAGTAATAAACCCACTTCCCTCATTGCCTTTTGTAGCTTTACTATTGAGAAATGTATATGATTTGGTCCATTTTCAAAATGTGTCAGGAAGAGAAAGAAGGTAATCCCACAAACAAATAACTTGGCGACAGATCTAAACCAGACTCCATGGGTCCGGGGGCCACTACAGTGCTGCTGTCTCCACTGAACTAATAACTTTCAAGTTGGAAATAATCTATTGCCATATAAAGGGTATACATAACCCACACATTATTTAGGTGACCTTTCTCTTGCTATACAGTCACAGGTTGCAAACCACAGGTGACCCGGAGTGGTGGTCAGAAGTCTATGTCTTTACCTTCTTTTGACTATGTGAGCTTAGGAATGTCACTTGACCACTTTTACCTCAGTTTCCTCAACTGTAAAGCAAGAGAGTGAATTAGGCCAACCATTTGTCTCAGTCCATCCCAGTTCTAATATAGTCTACCTATTTCAAAACTGGTCTCTGGACCACGCACAGTTCCCCTTCTCCCATCGTGGCTCTGAAATGTCTGCTGGAAGGGCAGCATCAGCTACACATCCTCCTTGAGTTAGTTCATTTGATGACCTGTACCTCTACTTCTGTGGAATCCAGTCTCCAGCTGCCCTCCCCCCATGCCATTTGTAGATTACTCTAGAGCTTCCTGAGCTCCTCTTTCAGCTATGGAGAAAGCTGATGTGAGGGAGAGATGATGCAAAGCAGAGAACACAAATGGAAGGCGGACACCACCTCCATTAGGTTTACCCCATCATTATCTTCTCTCTGCTCGCTCAGTCAGAGCTCAAATAGGGAGATACAAGTACGGTCTCTCACTTTGTCTCCAGCTACCTTACTACAGTGAAACAGTATAGCTAGAGAGCTCCCTTCAGAACATGACAGAAGCTGTATGTTTCATTGTCATGTAAGAATCAGTGAGGCTGACTAGATTGGGAGTTAAGATAGTTTTATTGAAGCCTGATGTCTCTGCTAAAGCATTCTGTTCTTGTGAGATTTGAAGGGTGAGATAGAGGTAGACATTCTGTAGTTATGTATCAAAAATACCACTGGAAGAAAGACTTTGAAATTCTAGAGATTTGTGGAATAGTTTCCTAAGTGCCCCTATGTCTTTATAGGAGCGACCTCAATGGGGGTGGAGGGGTGCATGTGCAATTGCAAAATGACACATAATGAAGAAATCTTCCCTTTCAGGGTCAAGAAAGTACAGAGGTAAAAGTGTGGATTTTCGCTCTCAAATACTCCCTGTGACCTGTGGTCAGCTGAAGGGGACATTATATAAGAAGAAATTGAAACGAGGTGGGTTTCAAGGTCTACTTTAATTTGCAACTTCTATCTGAAGGAATCCCAAGAAGTGATGGAATTACCATGTGAATTACACATTGTTCAAGGAATTGGGGCCACAGTTTGGCTTGAGAGAAGGTGGATGTGATCCCTAAGATGATATTTTCACACGTTAAGAAATCATACACATTAAGTGCTCACTCCCACATGAAAGTGTCCACAGGGATGCCCAAACAACCAAAGAGAAGTGAATCAGAAATAAAAGGGAAGAGGCCCTCAGACTCCACTTCATATCCTCTTTCCCTTCTGGATCATCATCACCAGGCCAGGGTAGTAGTGATGTAGTGAGAAGATCACAGAATTTAGAATCAGAAAACCTGAGTCCCAGCCTCAGCTATGCCAAGAGTGATGAATTCAGCTGAATAGAGAATGGGACCTTTCTGAGCCTGAAATTTCTCATCTAAAAAAGGGATAATAATTAAAGATCTACCTCCTGGTGTAGCTGTGAGGAATTAATTTACATAATTGATGTAAAATATTTTAACAGCTTAACTGAGATGTAATTCACGTATCGTACAATTCACCACTTACAGTGTACAATTCAATGTTGAATTTTGTTCATATATTCACAGGATTGTACAGCCATCACTACAATCTAATTTTAGAACACTTTTGTTCATCCCCCACTAAAGGAAACTCCATGACTATTAGCAGTCAATGCCCATGCCCACCTCACACCACTGCCCAGACCTAAGCAACCATTACTTTATTTTCTGATTTATAAATTGGCCTATTCTAGGTACTTCATATAAATGGAATCATATAATATGTGGCCTTTTATGAATGGCTCTTTCACATCACTTAGCATGATTTTTTCAAGGTTCATCCACATAATAGCATGTATTAGTACTTCATTCTTTTTTATTGCCAAATAACATAATATTTCATGGTATAGATATACCATATTTTGTTTATCCATTCATCAATTTGGGTTTTTTCCACTCTTTAGCTATTACAAATAATGCTGGTTTTTTTTTTTAATTTTTTTTCCATTTGTTTTTCCCCCAAAGCCCCAGTAGATAGTTGTATGTCATAGCTGCACATCCTTCTGGTTGCTGTATGTGGGACACGGTCTCAGCATGGCCGGAGAAGCAGTGCGTCCGTGCGCGCCTGGGATCCGAACCCAGGCCGCCAGTAGCGGAGCGCGCACACTTAACCGCTAAGCCACGGGGCTGGCCCCAAATAATGCTGTTTTGAAATTTGCGTACAAGTTTTTGTGTGAACATATGTTTTTGATTCTTTTGGATGTATACTCAGCAGTGAAATTGCTGGTTCATATGGTAATTCTACGTTTAACTTACTGAGAAAACACCAAAATGGTTTCCACAGTGGCTGGCCTGTTCTCTATCTCCAGAAAATTGAAATCCTCTCATCCTCCAGAGTCGCTTGCTTTTTTCCTTCATAGATGATTTTGAAATAATTCTAAAAGTTTGATTTTGATGATGATTATCACTTTTTTGTTGCACAAAGTTTCAAGAAATGTTATCACAAAGCAGGAAATCTCCTTTAATGGGACTTACAGCCTGGGTTTGGGGATTCTGAAGTCTGAAAGGAGAGGCCAGACTCTCCTGCTATTGTTCTTGAGCCCAAATGGGTGTCTCCAGATCCAGTGTGGTAGAAGGCCACTGTCTGAGTTCTGAGGACAGAGAGGGCTCAGTATCAACTTACCCTGGTCTTACAGGAGCCTTGGTGAAGAGTATACAGCGTGAAGATGGAAAGTGGCTCACTCCCAGGGAATTTGAAGTCAATGGAGGCTTTGCAAGATCAAAGAACTGGAAGCTGAGTGTGCGCTGTGGTGGGAGGCCCCTACGATGGCTGATGGAGGTATTCCGGTGACAGGGGGCAGGAGATGTGACTTACCTTGTTGCATCCTAAAAATAAGATCACTATTTGCTCACCAAATATTTGTTGAGTTATAGCTGAAGCCCTGATGCACCGGACTTTATCCTCTCACCAGGGGAGAGGTGCCCCACATTCATAACTTCAGTACAATGCAGCATGTCAGTGTCGTAAAAGGGGCTCTGTCAGGGTAGATGCAGGAGCTTGGAGGAGGGAAAGGTCATTCTGACTAAGGTGACTGCAGACAACTTTATGCAGTGAAAGAAGACAGTGTACAGTCACACAAGAGGGAAAAAGACTCTCCAGAGAAAGAATGACGTGAAAACCAGGACCATGACTAAAGTAGATCTGTGGGCTGAGGTAGATGGATTGTGTGTGACAAGGCACAATCCATCAATTGGGGTTGTTTGTGGAGGGATTTAATGCCAGGCTAAGAAGTGGAAACTCATAACATAGGCAATGCAGAACCAGAGAAGTCTTCTGAGGTGAGAAATGACATATTTAAAACAGTATCTTAGACAGCCATGGAGCCTTGAAATGACTTCAGTGTCTTTCAGCCCAACAAAACTATACTCAACCTACAATGCTCTACTCAAATGTCACCCCTCTCCGAATATTTTTGAGAGGAGCTTAAAAATGCCAGATTCAGAAAACAGAAACACAGGCTAACCATATACTTAAATCTTTTTATCTTTCAGAAAGGATTTCTACACAATCCTGCAAGAACTTATGGCAGGAGACAAAGGGTGATTATTATATAACTTTTTACAAGTTCTCATCACATTACTGATTTTGGTACAGCATGTTATTTTATGGTTTCTCAATTGGGTAATTATAATTAAGCTTCCTCCTCCGCCCCACCCCAGCCCCTTTTTTTGGAGAGAGCATGTGCCTTCAGAGTTGCTATTCTGAAGAACAGGTTGCATATAAAGCAAGGTCTTCTTTGAATGGTAATCCATTTGAGATGGAGATGATAAGGACTCATCAAAATAGACCTCATGGAGGTACTTTAGCTAGAGATGCAGACACTGTATAGGTGTCAAAGTTGTAAAAGCAAACATGACTGTGGAATACATAAAAACATTTCACAATAACATGATAGGGTCTTCTTTAGCTCAAACCCAGGTTTTTATCATCAATGTTACTATTTTCTAACTTTAATGAATAAGATGGAGCAAAAGTTTATTTACAGTCATTTAGATGACCCCACTCTAGTAGATAGTCTATCTTGGAACATATATGAAACTATATATCATTTCATAAGATGGGCAACAGAAAACACATTTCTTTTCTGATCCTTTACATCCCCTTCCACCTTCCAATAAAATATACACACAAACACGCAGAATTCTTTATCAGGGGGAAATTGTTTGTCCTTCATGAGGATGATGCTGTTGGGGAGGAAGCTCTTGGGAGATCAATATACCATATAGAAGGGGATGATCTGGAAAATTCTTTACTTTGTTCTACCAGAGGGGCCGTGCAGACCTCCTTTCTATCTGAGAAAGTGATTTCTCCCTCTATGGAAGAAGGCTATGGAGACAACAAACAAATACATAAAGTGCAATGTAGATTGAGGACAAGGTGATGGTTTTTCCAAGGTCGGGTATGAATGAGAGCTTGAGCAAGAAGGAGAGGGAAGAAAAGCCATTCTGACACACTTCAGGTAGAAATGGCCACCTGAGACATTCACAGACTGCTAGAATAGATCACCCATAGCTGGCCAATGGGACTTCATCTTCCACTAGGAATTTGAGGTCCAGACCTTTACATTATCTGATGTTTTGGCTGATTTGAACTCTCATTCCTTGGGACATTTCATCCACTGGATTTCCTAAAGGGAAACTATTATTTGACCTATTTAGTATGTTAAAGACCAGCATCTGTACCCATTCCCCAGGTGTCAAGAGTTACTCAGTCTAGATTACCCAAGTGAGCTGGCAACTACCTATCAACAGGATCTGCCCATGCATGGGGGCAACACTTTCAGCAATAAGCTGCTGTTGCCTCTATATTTGTATCTCCCCATGAGCAAGAATGGAAGGTCCCCAAATTGGCAGATCCCAGAATCCATTACTACTCTGGGGGTCCTCTGTGTCTCTCAGAACCTCTCTTGTTGATGGAGCCCCTTGGTTTCTGGAAACTTCAGTGTTACTCTTGGCACCACATCACACCTTCCTGGCTCCTAAGGGCCAGGGCTCCTAAAGGGCCACTAAAACTTTTGGTGACAGCTGCTATGTTGTAAAATAATCCCATATACTCCTCCAGAACAATCATTTATTGTATGCTAATATTTTTGCTTAAGAAATAGCAAGTAATCTCTTTTCCTAAGCAAAATAATGCTCATTTATCATTCATTCAACATACAGTCATGCGTTGCTTAACAATGAAGATACGTTCTGAGAAATGTGTTGTTAGGCAATTTCGTCATTGTGCAAACATCATAGAGTGTACTTACACAAACCTAGATAGTATAGCCTACAACACATCTAGCTATATTGTACTAATCCTGTGGGATCAACATCATACATGTGGTCTGTCATTGACCAAAATGTTGTTATGCGGCCCATGACTGTATAATTATTGAACACATACTAAATGCCCAATGGCCATTAAAGAAGATTGAAACAATATCCTAGACCTCAAGCATTTCTTCAACTTCACTGTCTAACATGGAAGAATAACTAATGGGGAGGGGTGGAGGATTCTAGGCCACACAGAGAGGCGGGCAGTGACACGGCCACTTCTCAGGCCATTGTCCAGTAGATCACTCTGTCCTGGGCTAGAGATAAAAGCTGAGGTTGCCTGATCCCAGAAGGGAAGGAGGCCAAGTTATTCTACTGAATGTGTAAAAGTGACATAAGTCCAGTGGGTGGTAGTCAGTTACCTCTGAAAAGTCAGCTAGCTGACATATTGGGATTTGGGTGAAGGGGAGAGAAGGGTGACCTTCTGGAAGAAGAGCTGCAGACTGGGGACCTTGGATGCATTTTATCTTCACGACTATGCCCTAGAAGAGCTGCAGAAGGCAATGGAGCTCTTCTCTGGGACGCTTGCAAGGATTCCAGGACTCTGGGCTGTGTGGTTTCTGGGGGCTCTTGGCAATGAGTCTTCAGCCTGATACTCTCATTGCAGCTCCTCCAGTGGGATGGCACTTTCTAACATAGAGAAAAATACCTGAAGGCCCTGAACATAGGAGAAACAGAGGAGTTTCTCCAATTCTACCTGTGTAAACCATGAAGGGCCAGACTCCCTTCATTGCCTCACAAAGGCCCACCTTGGGTCTGAGACTCAGGGATTATAACTACATTGGGCCAAACAGTGGTACTTTGGCACTTTTAATTCTCCTAGTAGATATATATGTCCGTAAAAACAGGTATGAAATAATGGGTAGACGTGGCTTGAATCCCTCAAAAGATGTCTCTTTAAATAAGTGATGGGTGCAAACTTCTCATTCAATAATGTCACTCAATCATTCTCTCTTTTTGGCAGAGAATACTGAAGTCTCACAACAATGCCTTAGTTGACCCTTATGTAAGTACTAGCTCCCACCCGTAACCTCAGAATAATCCAGACCTTTTCTCTCAGTACATTGTCTGTGTCGTTGCCGCTTTTCCCTGAAGCATGCTCACACTCAGTGGGAGCATGTTGCTTTGTGTGATGAGCAGTGAACAGCAGATGCATCACCTACGCCAGGTAGATGGTTCTGGGGTAGGGTATTTCAGCATGAAAGCATCCTTTCCATTTGTTCAGTGGAAACCTTCTCATTTCCTCATTTCACCTTGAAAGTGAGTATGGGAGACAGAGCTCTAGACCACTGGGGTCTCTAGAGATGGTGCTTGAAGTGGTAATGGACAGGGCTGGCCTGCAGATTAGAGGTAAGGAGCAAATTTGAGAGGATTGCAGCATTTTAAAGAAGGCAAGGGAAGGAAAATCCCAAACATTCATCCCAAGGTGCAGGCAGAGCTAAGATAGGTTGAAGCATCAGCCAGAAGGAATAAGCCAGGCCAAGCTGGAGAGTTCAAGGTGCAGACCTTGTTGTGAGTCCTGCAGAGAAATGTACGCAGGGCAAGCGGGTCCTTTATGGAACTCCTGGAGCCCATCCTGAGGGAGCCACCAGGGTGCTGAGCTGATTAGAACTGAAATCATCACCATTTATCAAATCACGGACATTTTTACTCAAACTGGTATCATCTGTCTACCTGCTTTAAGGTCTGCCAAAATTATGGATGGCTCGCTCTCTAAGTTAAATCATACTTTGATTTCTTTCATTGCAACAAGATGGACATTTTAAGCAGAGTCACCTTTGCACAACTCAGGGGGCAACAATCACATAGGATATTATGCAGTAATATTGATACATAACATCCAACAGAGGAGGGATAGTCAAATAATTTTACATATACTTTACATCCAAAGCAATACCCAACAAGATTTAGATCTTACCCACACTGATTTTGACCCTTGGACAACTAAGGGAGTCTTCAGTCATCTAAACAGCACTGGAGTTCAATGTTTATGTGGCTTGTTTGGGAGGGACGTAGACACACAGGGTCAGGTCTCACAGCCCATGGCCGAGAGTCCATGGGGAGGAGAGGGAAGCTGTTCCAGCAAGAGTGCCCTTACCCCTGTTAATAATCTTTCCTGGGACAGATATTACAAGCCAATTCAACATTGACTGATAATATCTCCATGCCTTAATAACGAGCCTTTGCTGAGGCTAAATCTCAACTTAGGCTACCCACTGAAATCATGTGAAGACCTTTGAAAAGTAGCATTGTCTGGATCCCACCGTAGAGGAAATTCTGACTTAATTAGTCTGAGCTATGACTTGGACATTAGGATTGTTTAAAAGTCCCCAAGATGATTCTAATACACAAAATTACCCAAGCTATGAATTAATGAAGAATACCAATGCCTTTGCCCCACCCAGACCAATCGATTCAGATCTCTGGCATTGGGACCAGGACATTAGTATTTTATACATTTTGCCCAGACAATTCTAACGTGCAACTGGCTTAGAAAATAAAGAGCCATAGAGATAAATCTGTTAAAAAGAATACGGATGTGAGATTCTTAAACACTGATTATACTTGTTATTTCCTTGTTCTTCTGAGGAGAGGGTTATCACATTCTGGGGAAGTATAATGGTAATCTGCGAGCGGCTGCACTCATGAGAAGAAAAATGGCTGTGTGCCTCCATGCTAGAGCAGTCTAAGTCCCCAGTTGAGAATGTCCTTGAGGATCCTCCAGAACATTGAATGGGAGCACTTGGCAAAGATGTTACTTGGGGCTATCATTTCCTTTTACAAGGCCATTTTGAAAAACAAAATAAATGGCCAGAACCCCAGTTCACCCAACACAAGCATTTTCACCCAAAGCCCAGAACAAGACTCAACATAATTGTTAATTAGTGTCATTTCATCTTTTATTACTTTCCACACTAAGAAATTTATTCCATCTTATTAAATTCTCCATATATCAAGCTTCCACACGTCGATTTAGTCATTGCGGTGCAGGCAAATGGATTTAACACTTTATTTCAGGAACGTTCTTTATCTGCAAGGGTAATAAAATTATTCAGATTCCTATAAAATCATCCTCTGGTTTTGTTGTTAGTCTTTCTGTGTTAGAATCTCTGATTTTGTAGGGAAAATTTTTCTGATCTGACACACAGGTGCCTCCTGTTGAACTTCACTGCAGACCACGATTTCTTCTTCTGAATTCTTTACTCCATGCTACTCCTTCATAGCTCAGGAGGAAGCATATGTGTCCATGCAGTTCACACAAAGGCAATAGGTTCTAGATTCCCAGAGTGCTGGCCTTCTGGGGTCTCATGGGAGATCAGACATTGTTTTATCTTCTAGCCAGGAAACTCAGATGTATGTGAGATGTGCCGGGATGGAGGATGGCTGTTCTGCTGCGATACTTGTTCAAGATCCTTTCATAAGGACTGTCACATCCCACCTGTGGAAACTGAGCGGTTCGTGAGATGCAGCCCCTTCCCTCCTTTGTAGGGACACTTCTTCCTGCCTTGCACACTCACCCTGCAGTGTTCCTACTTGTGTCTAGATGGGGAAAGAGCAGGGCCATAGATACGGGTCCAGCGGTGTGATCCAGAGAGCTGTTTAAAGGTGCTGGCAGCAGGAGGGTCATGTCCTTTGCTCTCCTCAGGGATGCGAGGCTGGTGGCTGCATCCTTTGCCTATGTACCGCTACTGCGCTTTCCTAGAAAGTTTCCAGCAGGGACTCTTGTTCACAGGGGTGGAAATGCCAGTTGTTTGTGTTCTGTACGTATTCTGAAAAGGCAGGAAACCTGGCCAGGTTCCCTCATTTTGCCACATTCTCAATTGGCTGGTGGAGGCCTGAAGCCCCCAGGAGTTAAGGCCCAGTTTCTGAAACTCCGGCCTGGCAGGCAGGGGTCCTTGGGCTCCCAGCAGTTGAGACGAGGAAAGGAGAGCCCACCATTCACCCTGACACCACCCTCCACCCATTGACCTCCTGCCACAATGTCCATGGGAGTAGGATCATTGGTTCAGACCGCACTTGGGGGGCTTGTAGACTCTGGCAGGTGTGCCCTTTGTCCTCCAGCTGTGTCCATTGGCCATTTCTGAAAGGAGGACAGTGGCAGCTGTAGGAACAGTGGCTGTTTCCAGGGGCCTTGCCCTTGCTCACTTATGCCCAACCTCTCAGGAGCCCGTGGAGTTGCTCCTTCTGCAGGGTGAAGGAGTCTTCAGGAAGCCAGCAGTGTCATGGAGAATCTGAGGTCCTGGCAAGGCAGATGGGGCCTGAGGAGCAGTTGGTGAGTAAGATTCAAACCCTAAACCTTCTCCTTTCCGCACACACGTGAGAAGTCAAACAGACAAAAGGCGAGGGGAAGGGCGCCCACAGGGAGCCTGCTCTTTGGAGCCATGCCTCAACCACACTGAAATCACACCAGAACTTGTTTGCAGAAAAAATAACTCAGCCATCTGCAAGAACCACAGACGTTGAGGAAACTTCTAGAAGACTGGTGTGGTCATGCCTGTCAGTCTGAGTGTGCATATGGGCTCATTCTTTCCAAGCTGCTTTTCATTCACAGCCTCCTTCTTTTGCAGAAATGTGAGTTCCTCCTCCTGAAGGTCTATTGCCATTCAGAGAGCTCCTTTTTTGCGAAGATTCCATATTATTATTATGTAAGTAACAACACAAACCGTGATTAGAGGCTGCCATGATGATACCTGACCTTGAAGTGGGCTCCTGTGGGATTTGTGATCTGAGTGTGATCTGAATTCCCATGGGAATGAAGATATGAGCTGCCGTTATCTTTATCTCAATGTAATTCTGCTGGAATTTATGGGAATCAATAGAAGGCAGACATTGAATTATTTCAGTAATTCTCCCACTGATTTTCTTTTTTTCACCAGATTAAAGAGGCTTCTCAAAAACTAAAACCCATGTGGTTGGACAAAATCAAGAAGAGGCTAAGTAAGCAGGGTTACCCCCAAGTCGAAGGGTTTGTGCAGGACATGCGCCTCATCTTTCAGAACCACAGGGCGTCTTACAAGGTAAATGGCTCTCCCTGCCTCCATTTCTTTTTCTCTCCATTGAGTCGCTCTGTCCTTACTTTCAGGTGTTGGGAAATTTTACAGTTTCCGTAATCCTATGACAAATCTGCACAAGCAGTCGTTCTGGAAGTGAGTGACTTCTTCCATTCAGGGCTTAAGCTCACCATGGCAGAGTTACTGAGTCAGAACTTGTCCCTGCAACCAGAACCCCAGGCCCCTGAAAACTCATTCCCCTCTGCAAAGGCAACAGGTGCCCACAGAGAACAGTCAACTCCTCCCTGCTCCAAACCTGAGAAGAGAATTGCATGTAAAAGTTGTATTATGCTTCTTATCTCTCCCCTAATACATTCACTTAAACTTCTCAGAAATCTTAAACTCCAGATTCTTTGCATGCGAATGGAAAAGGAAGACCACTGATTGTACTTAGAAATTTCTGTACTATTTGAATGATTACAAAGAACATAGTTTACTGTCCTAACCCTCACTAAAATAAATAGCCCAACCATTAAGTTAGAGTCCCCAAGTGTGGTAATATTTCCCATTCTGTCCAATAATAAGAAATAATCATGCACTTAGGAAAGAGAAGTTACTCTCAACTGCATGAGTTTTTAATCTTAACCTGGTTAATGTAGCTTAGGGTGTTTAAGACAAGAGTCTTGATCATTCTCAATTGCAAGGTGTCTAACACTGATAATGAGGTTCATTATTTCTGTCTCTATTTTTTTTTCAGTACAATGACTTTGGCCTAATGGGACTTAGACTGGAGGCTGAATTTGAGAAGAATTTCAAGGAAGTGTTTGCTATTCAGGCAACAAATGAGAACAGCTCACCAGTGTAGTGGATGCTGGTGGTACCTTGGGAACCCCCCTTGGAGCAGGCTTCTCATCCTCCAGCTGCTGTGAGGGTTGGCTGCTGATGCCACCCCTCCCCAGAGTATTGCCTTCTGCCAAATGGAGCCAGCTTCATCTGCACATTACTCCTCCTCGACCTGGAGCCTGCCCCAGCCCCAAGGTGGAACCATCTGTGTGGTGTGTGATTCAGGCTCCTGTGCTCCCCATGGGATCAGGCTGGAGCTAGTCTCCAGCTGTGACAACATCCTTGCTTAGCTTTTCCCATCACAGTATCTTGCTTCCTTCACTTCTCCTGAGAGAACTCTCACAATAAATCACTTACTTAAGAGCCTTTATCTCAGACTCTGCTCTAGGGAACACAGCTTAAGATAATAGACCTAGCAAGCAGGCCCTAAGGATGGGGTTCTGCAGTTGGATCACTGTCTAGCAGATGGTGACAGGTAGAATACCAATATCCCTGGGGTGCTGTAACAGTGCAGTTGTCAGACTTTCACCTGTAGGAAACTGGATGAGATAAAGGGGAAGAGATATACTAGCTGGTGCAATTGTCTGGCATTTACAAAGGCAGAAATAGTAACTATAAGATCTGTGGATTTGGGTGGGTATTGCTAAGTGCTGCTAATGTGTTAAAAAGAGTAAATGAAGGGCTTAAATCTACGAATCACCACCTAAAGCAAAGAGACCCTCATACCTGCAGCTGGAAGGCAGACAGTAAGGAAGGCCCAGCACCAGCCCTAATTATAAGAATGGCGTAATTTCAGAGAAGTCTGAATTCTAAGCTCAGAATGGTCCTTTATGCCAAAGTCAGGGCCGTGATAAATAAGGAGTAAAGCCTTGAAACTCAGAATGGGTCTTTCTAGGAAGATGCACATGAGAACCTTGAAGTCCAGATCCCCTTGAACCCACTGGTCAGAATTCCTACCCCTTGTTAGAAGACAGACCCCCTACCCTCCCAAACATCTTGTCTGAATGAGGACTACGTGGAGTCCTCTCAGCATGACCCAACTGGGATCCTGGGTTGTCCTGCTAGCTGAACAAAGGGTTTACTCCAATGGAGCTGCAGGACTGGCCAACAAGTACCAGCAGGAGCCAGGAGATTGCGTCTGGGAGTGATCCTGGATGAAGTAAGGTGGAATATGAAACTGGAGAAGAGAGAATTGTCAATACAGGTGCACTCCCCTGTACCACAGAGTTTAATTAGCCTGGCAAGGGCCAAAGGTGATGACTCTGATATCCTCCCAAGTGGCTCTTTGAGGCTTGATATAAGCCACAGAACACACTAGATGAAGTGGAAGTAGAGATACCAGATGTGCCAGGGCAGACTATGGAAAAGGGGAATCTGAAGGCCTAGGGAAATTTGCATGGCTCTACTCTCCACAACTGGAAAACCATCCATCAGGTGACTGGGTTCCTTAGGAGGCCTCAGAGATGCTAACTTAACAAGGTGATAAGGAACACGTGGCTGAGGGGGCACCAGCATCCTTGAGATTCTCAGTGGGGTCTGTCCACTGGAAGTCGGAATAATATAGGAATGTTTTACGGAACTGGATTCCCTAGTCACAATGGAAATGACAGGATTCCAGAGTAATGGAAGCCAGGTGGCAGCATTTAATTGTCAGAGCAAGAAAAAATAATTTCTTAAATGGGCAGCAAGGTTAGAATGACAGCAAGGGGTACCTGGCCCATAGATGTGTATGGAGATTGCTAATAGGACACAGTGTTCTTATAGACATGACAGATGGCCAGCCAACAAGGACATTGCTTCATATATATCATCAAAAGAGATTAAAAATAGGTGAGTAGAGGGCTGAGATCAGCTATCTCAATAAAAAGTGAAGATCCTCAGCTCAGTATCCAGAATGGAGCCAATTCTGAGGCCTAGAATCTGCTGATCGAAATGAGGGCAGGACTCATGAAAGGACCTTGCAAATGTACATAGTAGTGATTCCCTCAGTTCTTCACCAAAAGCACCTATGGCCATTTATTCAAGTAACCATATGTCAGAGAAAGGAAAATACACAGATCTCTTAAGAGTTGTTGATACAGCATCGAAGCTGATGCTAATACCTGGAGACCCAAAGCACCATCACAGCCCCTGTTAGAGTAGAGTGTATGGAGGTCAGGTAATGTCCACCTAACAGTGAGTCCACTCTATCCACAAAGCCAGCCAGCAGTCATTTCCCCAGTTCCGGAATGTATAATCAGGACACACATAGCCTGTTGGCCAAACTGGTTCTTTAACCTAATGTTCCTTAATCTATGAAATAACAATGACTGTCTTAGGAAAAGCCCAGTGAAAAGCCCAAACTGAAGTTTTCCATAGTGAAAATAGTAAGTTGAAAGCAATATCATATTCCTGGGTTGGGGAATGACAGAGATTAGTGCCACTGCAAAGACTTAAAAGATACAGTGGTTGTTACCCTATTACATCTCCACTGGATTTGGAAGTCTGGCCTCTGCAAAGCTAGGTGGTTCATGGCTACAAGATGACTACTAAAAACTTAACCCAAGTAGTAGCCCCAATTGCAGCTGTTGTGCTGGATGCAGTATCTTCATTAGAGTAGATTAACATGGCCTGTGGTATGTGCTATGCAACTATTAAGATGGAAAATATGCTTTAAAAATATCCAGTAGTGGGGTTGGCCCCATGGTCTAGTGGTTAAGTTCGGCGCATTCCACTTCGGTGGCCCAGGTTCGGTTCCCGGGTGTGGACCTACACCACTTGTTGGCAGCCATGCTGTGGCGGCGACCCACATACAAAATAGAGGAAGATTGGCACAGATGTTAGCTCAGGGCAAATCTTCCTCAAGCAAAAAGAGGAAGATTGGTGACAGAGGTTAGCTCAGGGTGAATCTTCCTCAGAAAAAAAAAGAATCCAGTAAGATATAGGATGAGAAGCAGTTCACATTCACATGGACTGGACAGCAGTACATGTTTACAGTCTTTCCCCAGGGCTATGTGAATTCTCCTGCTCTCTGTTACAATATAGCCTGTGGGGACCTAGACTGTCTGGACACTCTGCAATACATAACGTTAGTCCTCTCTCTATATATATTTTTAATTATTTTATTGAGGTTATATTGGCTTATCATATTGTGTAAATTTCAGGTGTACATTATTATATATCTGTTTTTGGATAGACTGCATCCTGTTCATCACCAACAGTCTAGGTTTTATCCATCACCATACATATGTGCCCCTTTACCCCTTTCACTCTCCCCCCAGCCCCTTCCCCTCTAGTAACCACTAATCTGTTCTCCTTATCCATGTGTTTGTTTATCTTCCATATATGAGTGAAATCATACAGTGTTTGTCTTTCTCTGTCTGGCTCATTTTGCTTAGCATAACAACCTCAAGGTCCGTCCATGTTGTTGCAAATGGAACGATTTTGTCTTTTTTTATGGCTGAGTAGTATTCCATTGTGTGTATGTGTGTATGTATATATATATATACCACATTTTCTTGATCCATTCATCAGTTGACGGGCACTTGGGTTGCTTCCATGTCTTGGCTACTGTGAATAAAGCTGTGATAAACACAGGGATGAATAAATCCCTTTGGATTGTTGATTTCATGTTCTTTGGATAAATATCCAGTAGTAGGATACCTGGATCATATGGTATTTCTATTTTTAACTTTTTGAGAAATCTCCATACTATTTTCCATAGTGGCTGCACTCCCACCAGCAGTGTATGAGGGTTTCCTTTTCTCCACATCCTTTCCAACATTTGTTATTTCTTGTTCTGTCAATTATAGCCATTCTGACAGTTGTAAGATAATATCTGATTGTAGATTTGATTTGCATTTCCCTAATAATTAGTGATGTTGAACATCTTTTCATGTGCCTATTGGCCATCTGTGTATCTTCTTTGGAAAAATATCTGTTCATATCTCCTGCCCATTTTTTGATCAGATTGTTTCTTTGTTGTTGAATGGTATGAATTCTTTATATATTGTGGAAATTAACCCCTTGTCGAATATATGATTTGCAAATATCCAGTTGGTGAGTTGTCTTTTCATTTTGTTGATGGTTTCCTTTGCCTCGAAGATTTTTAGTCTGATGTAGTCCCATTGTTTATTTTTTCTTTTGTTTTCCTTACCTGAGTAGACACTGTATTTGACAAGAAATTGCTAAGACCAATGTCAAAGACTGTACTGCCTATATTTTCTTCTAAGAGTTTTACAGTTTCAGGTTTTACATTCAAGTCTTTAATCCATTTTGAGTTAATTTTTGCGTATGGTGTAAGATAATGGTCTACTTTCATTCTTTTGTATGTGGATGTCCAGTTTTCCCAGCACCACTTATTAAAGAGACTTTCCTTTCTCCAGTGTATGTTCCTGGCTCCCTTGTCAAAAATTAACTGTCCATAGATGTGTGGGTTTATTTCTGGGCTTTCAATTCTGTTCTACTGATCTGTGTTTCTGTTTTTGTGCCAGTACCATGCTCTTTTGATTACTATAGCTTTGTGGTATGTTTTGAAGTCAGAGATTATGAAACCTCCAGCTTCGTTCTTTTTCCTCATGATTGCTTTGACTATTTGGTATCTTTTGTTGTTCCATATAAATTTTAGGATTCTGTGTTCTATTTCTGTGAAGAATGTCTTTGGGATTCTGATTGGGATTGCATTGAATCTATAGATTGCTTTAGGTAATATGAACATTTTAACTATGTTTATTCTTCCAATCCATGAACATGGAATATCTTTTCATTTCTTTATGTCTTCTTCGAGTTCTTTCAATAATGTCTTACAGTTTTCAGTGTATAGGTCTTTCACCTCCTTGGTTAAGTTTATTCCCAAATATTTTATTCTTTTTGTTGTGATTGCAAATGGGTTTGTATTCTTGAGTTCTCTTTCTGCTAGTTCATTATTAGTGTATAAATGCAACCAATTTTTGTATGTTGATTTGTACCCTGTGACTTTGCTGTAGTTGTTGATTATTTCTAATACTTTTCTAGTGGATTCTTTAGGTTTTCTATATACAGAATCATGTCTTCTACAAACATCGAGTTTTATTTCTTCCTTTTCAATTTGCATCCCTTTTATTTCCTTTTCTTGCCTAATTGCTCTGGCCAAAAGTTCCAGTATTATGTTGAATAAGAGTGGTAAGAGTGGGCACCCTTGTCTTGTTCCTGTTCTCAGAGGGATGGCTTTCAGTTTTTCACCATTGAGTATGATGTAGGCTGTGAGTTTGTCATATGTGGCCTTTATTATGTTGAGGTACTTTCTTTCTATACCCACTTTATTGAGACTTTTTATCATAAATGGATGTTGGATCTTGTCAAATGCTTTCTCTGCATCTAATGAGATTATTATGTGATTTTTATTCCTCATTTTGTTAATGTAGTGTATCACATCAATTCATTTGCAGATGTTGAACCATCCCAGCATCCCTGGAATAAATTCCACTTGGTCATGGTATATGATCTTTTTAATGTATTATTGTATTTGATTTGCTAATATTTTGTTGAAGATTTTTGCATTGGTATTCATCAGCGATATTGGCCTGTAATTTTCCTTCTTTGTGTTGTCCTTGTCTGGTTTTGGTATTAGGGTAATGTTGGTCTTGTGGAATGAGTTAGAAAGCATCCTGTCTTCTTCCTAATTTTGGAATAGTTTGAGAAGGATAGGTATTAAATCTTCTTTGAATGCATGGTAGAATTCACCAGGGAAGCCATCTGGTCCTGGACTTTTGTTTTTGGGAGTTTTTTGATTACTGTTTCAATCTCTTTACTTGTGATTGGTCTATTCATATTCTCTATTTCTTCTTGATTCAGTTTTGGGAGGTTGTATGAGTCTAAGAATTTACCCATTTCTTCCAGGTTATCCAATTTATTGGCATATACCTTTTCATAGTATTCTCTTTTGTTTTTTGTATTTCATAGTATTATCCTTTGTATTTCTGTGGTATTCTTGTAATTTCTCCTCTTTCATTTCTAATTTAATTTGTTTGAATCTTCTCTCTTTTTTTCTTAGTGAGTCTGGCAAGGGTTTGTCAATTTTGTTTATCTTCTCAAAGAACTGGGTCTTAGTTTCATTGATCCTTTTTATTGTTTTTTTAGTCTCTATTTCCTTTATTTCTGCTCTGAATTTTGTTATTTCCCTCCTTCTACTGACTTTGGGCTTTGTTTGTTCTTCTTTTTCTAGTTCTTTTACATATAGTTTAAGAATACTTATTTAGGATTTTTCTCATTTGTTGAGGTAGGCCTGTATTGCTATAAATTTCCCTCTTATTACCACTTTTTCTGCATCCCATAAGAGTTGGTATGATTTATTTTCATTTTCATTTGTCTCCAAGTAGTTTTTGATTTCTCCTTTGATTTCTTCATTGATACAATAGTTGTTCAGTAGCATGTTGTTTAGTCTCCACATATTTGTGACTTTTTCAGCTTTTTTCTTGTGGTTGATTTCTAATTTCATAGCATTGTGGTCAGAAAATATGCTTGATATGATTTCAATCTTAAATTTATTGAGGCTTGCCTTGTTTCCCAACATGTGGTCTATCTTTGAGAATGTTCCATGTGCACTTGAGAAGAATGTGTATTCTGCTGTTTTTCGATGGAACGTTATATATATCTATTAAGTCCATCTTGTCTAGTATTTCATTTAAGACCATTGTTTCCTTGTTGACCTTCTGTCTGGATGATCTATCCATTGATGTAAGGGGGGTGTTGAGGTCCCCTACTATTATTGTTTTGCTGTCAATTTCTCCCTATAGGTCTGTTAATAGTTGCTTTATATACTTTGGTGCTCCTGTGTTAGGTGCATATATGTTCATAACTGTTATGTGTTCTTGGTGCAATGTCCCTTTTATCAATATATTCTGCCCCTCTTTGTCTCTCAC